AAAGGAAAGGCTTGACTTACCGTGGCAAATTCCTTGTTCTTCATCAACTGATCAAGCAGGGCGGATTCTGATAGGAGGTGTGGCTGACTATGGGACCAGGTATGGCAAAACCACTTAAAGTGTCGAGCATGGTCTAAAAAACGGAAGAGGGCAAGTGGTTTCACGACTAGCCGTGCTAAAAACCGAAAGCTTAATGAGCCAAAGGCCTCATAGATCGGCCACAAAACAAGTAGATAGACAATGCGGATACCATGAGACTCAGTTTCGGACAGGATCCTGAAAGTGAAGCTTTGCGAAGTTTCTTCGACACCTGTGATTTGATTTCCGATCGAGGTCTGGGCTCAATCTCAAAGGCGAGGGACCAAACCCATCAAAGCCACCCCCCCACTCGCCTTCAGATCAGACCAGACGAAGAATATGGTAAGAAGAGGACAAACGCCAACTTACGAAGAAGTTCTGCGTCACCAGTCCGGCCAACAGCTGATCCATGTCCATAGTGTCCACCGGAGAAACCCAGGCTAAATGTAAAGCCGGGGATCATCCTCCGCCATTCTTGCTGAACAGAGAGCAGAGCCTATAAAACAAAGCCACATTGATCATCCAACCTTGGGGACAGTTTCAGCAAAGGGCTGTATACAGAGTCATACGAATCCCCTGGCTGTCCTAGTGACTGACATCTCATGGGTAAATCTATCTAGCTAAGTGGTGGACCCTTCTCTACTCCAACGGGCAGCATAATAAACACAAACGAACTAGACAATATCCAGCTCTATAGTAGCACTTTTCAGTTACCGTAATAGTGACAAAAAAGGGATTCGCAGGTGGTAAACCAGAAGGAGAAAGGGAATTCACCAGGATTGGCATACTACGCACGCGGAAGAAAGGAGCGGCATATAGCGAAGGCCAGGTGCTAGAGTATTCACACTCTGAAGATGGATAGACGAGATAACTATCCGAAATGTCAGATCACAAATAAACCTCCCCCTGTGAACGCCCCTTCTCCTTCTGACTTTTCAATTAATATAAGCCGGCAAGACAATGAGCCCCGTGGCTCACTGTTTACAGCGTTGGACTTCTGATTAACCGGTTGCGGGTTTAAGACTCGAGGAATGTACCACTTGGGGCTAGATATGACTGGCTGATGACGGCTAGCTGGCCG